CTTAAACATCAGAAGATTCTCAAGTTTTCATTTGAGGGTTGGTCTTGGAGGGCTATGTAGATCTGCTGGAAATTTCAGACCAAGATTTTTTTCTTCTAGAGTTATTTCAATTTTCGAAAGACAAATATTGTATTTCTAAAGCCAAGTCTGTTGAAGGCTACATAAAACATCATACTCTCAGGAAACCACAGGAATAATTATTTGCTGCTAAAACAGCACCTTGCAAAAACTGATATGCTAAATAGAAGGACACGTACACCAGTTGCCACATTAGAATTGTTCACAGTGTTCTCCTTGCCAGACAGGGACATTAGGATTGGAGCTGGAGCCCAGAACTTTGTACCAAGTAGTGGGGAAGAACTTGTGTGTTCTTGCCGAGTCCAGAAATCAAGCCTAGAAGATGTTTCAGTTCAACATGAAATAAATAGTATTTTAGGAAGCAAACAGGTCAGGGGACAGAATTATAAGAGATTGAGAATGAAAATAAGGAATGTGTGGATAAATGTGCTCTCTTTTCTCATCATACAGAGTAAAAAACTGGATGTTGTTACCAGGAGCAAAGGATGATTCTCAAAGAGAAAACCAACTCAGATTTCACCCACCCACCTCAAGAAAATCATTTAGAAAATCTTAAGATTCCAAACCTTCTTTCATTGGCTACAAGAAAAGAATTTAAGACTTTTAGGTGACTATTACTTGATTAGAATAAAATTATTATTATAACTAGATCAGAACATTCTTATCCCTGCTTGATGGGAATTCTTTATGTCAGCCAAGAAAACTACAGTAACTAAGCTCAATCTTTTGTTCCTAAAGATTTTCTGCTAACTGTAATTAAACTAAAGGACATGTGAGGGGTAACAGGTTTCCATATGGATTAATGTACTAAAAATTGCTCCCAAATCAATTACCTTTGTGGGTTTATTTATAGAGCTCCTGAACAGGCGATGTAGGTGACATTTACTCCCCACAAGTGCTGCCTATGCATCTTGTTTTGCTCTGGGGCACAGAGCGGGTGAGACAAGGGGGCCAGTGACCTGACTTCTAAGTTCAGTTTTAAGATTGAGCCAAAAAGACTGTGTTAAGGCACATTCTACTTGGAAAGGTCAGTCTAATAAGAGTGGGTTTGCCATTGCTTCAAACCTAATGCCACAAAATATGAACTATCATGTAGAAATATCATGTCTCTTCTCGCTACCTATGACTTTGGCCTGGAGAAGGGTAAAAGACTGTGAGCACCATGTCCTCCTTGTGATCATGCCTGCCCTCCAACAGCACAAGAAGGAGCCAGGGATATAATGTCACCAGAGAGAAGAATGAACAAGGAAGGTGGAGCCACAGTGAGGTGAGGCACAGGACTAAGCCCCAGGTTCAGGGTCCCCATTTCTGCTTTCACCCCCAGGGTACCAAGGCTCCTTCCTGGAGATATGCCTTTACTAGGCCATCAGGTCCCCAGAGGTCTTGGGCACCAGGGCAATGCTGTGGTGGTGATGCCAGTGACGATGTGAGGCCAGCTCCCCAGTTTAGATCCTCCTTCGCCGTCTGATCCCCAGCAAATCAGCTTGATACCCCTCTGCCCCACCTGCCACCTGCCTTGTCCCACATTGACGGGGAGAACTCTGGGTGTGGTGCAGCCAACAGGGCTTCCTGGGGACGCTCAGCAGTCACCACGCACTCACCAGCTCCTCCTATGGGCTACTGCATCTGTCTGCAGGTCCCAGCCTGCAGGCTCAGGGTCGACTGAGTCCACACAGCAGCTTCAGCCTTTGGTGACTGCCTCATCCTTTGAGCCTGTTCTCCAAAGTAGCACTTTGTCAAGTTTTTACTCCATCCACTCCCCAAATGTCAAGCTCGGTCACCTATTCACCTGCAACAGGGGAGAGAATTCTCACGGTCTGGAAGGCTCTGCTTTGGCAGTGGAGTGAGGGTGAGGGGGTTCCTTGGCTGGGGCTGAGCTTCTGTCAGGGCACGGCAATATGCAGGTGTGACTTCAACAGCAAATCCTAAAGGATTAGCACAGTGCGGCCACACAGCAAGGGCTCTCCACACAGTGGCTGTCCCCATGCTGCTATTAGGGATATGCACTTCAAGGAGACTCTTTAAATGTGCTAAAAGGGACCTTCTTGATGAGACTCCGCTTGTTGAGGGTTAATCCGTCAACTGTACAAAGGGACAAAGAGAAGGCACAGCAGCCACCTTTCCTCTTTCTCAGGCAAAACACCCATATGGGAGGCAAAACCCACCAATAAAGTCACTGGCAGATGTTTCAAATGTTCTGTGGGGTCACGAATTGTTCCTAGTACTTCATCAACATGGACATAAATAATGGACAAAGGTGGTGTTGTGACTGATCAAGCTGACAGGGTGGAAGCAGATATGAGCACATGTGAGAATGTAGCACTGTTTGCAAAAGTTTAAGCTGAAGCAGCTTTAAAACAGCACATATTCTCTGGGGCTAATGTGTTGAGTCTGTCAGCTGAGTGAGTCTAACCACCAGTTGTGACCAAACATGGTATGGTCCTCAAGCTTGGGATCCCCAGTCACAGTGCGTGGCGCCGTCACTGTTTGCAGCTCTCGGCCCTTCCCTACCAGCTGCTCTGTCAGGGCGGCAGGGACCAGCTGCCCAGCGGGAACCGTACACACTATTTCTGTGGATAGGATGTGAGTAAGTACATGCCACTGTAAGTCCAACCAGGATATGAGTCAGATGACTACAGAGTGTTAAAGAGAATTGATCTTCAAAGCCTTAAGCCAAGCTACACTATTATAAATGAGCTACAGTTTGAAAGACACAATTATGAAGCAAAGGAAAACCCTGAAGAGGAGGGATGCTTAGAATTGGCCAAAGACCTACCAATGAAAGAAATAGATAAGGTTGTAGCTAAAATCTAGAGGTCTTAAAATTTAGAGGTAAAAAGAAAGATTTATTACCAGAACGACATATTTCTCTAGCATACTTGGGTCAGACATGTAGAAGCAGTGTAACACAGCAACTCAGAAAAGCTGTGCAACATGGATTCACTGTATTTTCTACTGAAGACAAAACACTTCATTTGCACAGCAATTTTTAGGAGGCCAAATTAATGGTCCTAAACTGGTTCTTGGAAGAAAAAGTTATTGGCATAAAGGCATAAGATACAAGATGTTTATCTGTAGCGCCACCTGTAAAAGCGAAAAATTATTAACCATCATGATATCCACAATTTAAATATATATGTATGTCACTTTGATGAACCTAAGCAACTTTTAATAGGAATAAAGTAATTTGAATATATTGGCATGGAATGGTGCCTATGATAGACTGTTACAGTGAAAAACTAAATTGTAGAAAATGTACATGGCCATCACATTTCTGTTAAAAATGGTATGTTTGTATATGTATAGAAAAAGTCTCTCAGGAGCTGGTGAACACAAGTAATTGTTATTTGTGACAGATTTTTGTACACCCCTATTCATTGTTTGAAGTCTTTACAACAAACATTATTTTTTTTTTTTTTTAAACAAACATTACTTTTATAACAGAAAATATAACCAACGAAGATATTTGAGAGATAGTATGAACCTAGCCTTTTTTGTATGTGCAATGTTCTCGGTGGCTCAGGGCAGTCTAATGGCCCCCACGGCCCTGGCTGAAGGGGTGAAGGCACAGCAAGGCAGTTCCGAGCTCCCCGTGAATTCATGGAGGCCACACAGTCAGCACTTCGGAATCACCATGAATGAGAAAGGAGGGCTTTAGACCTCGGAAGCTTGTTTCTTCCCCTGTTGTGGGGCCTTGCTTTCCAGCTCCCATACATTTCCCCATGGCCTGTGTAACTGTACTTCTGCTTCATGAGTGCTGGGGAAGTTCTCTGCCTGGCCAGGACCCCAGACAGGTCACTGCTCAGCGCAGATTTGCTGACTGCTGTTCAAGGGGCCATGAAGCGTTATTAGTGAGAAGTGACAGTAGCCACTCATCCCCTCCATCTCCCTCCCAGCAAAGTTTCAAAGAAGTATCCCTGGTGTTGAGGGCCAGGGCGAGGGGAGCTTGACCTGCCTCGCTGACTGCAGGACCCATCCTAGAGCTGTGCATTCAGGCATTTCCTCTCCATAAGCAAACTGTGTCCTCTGGCCTGCCCCTCGTCTCCTTTCTCCAGCAGGCGCATCTGTTTAACCACAACGTGCAGGTCTGGAAAGTTACTGCAGCTGCCTTGTTTTCTGAAGGCTGAAGAAGCCCAGATGTCACTGTGTTTTCTGTTCTCCACAGATGGCCTCTGAACGCCTTGCATTCCTTCCTTCCCCACACCAAGGCTTCCCTTAGGCGATTCTACTCATCCTCCAGATCCCAGAGCTTCCTCTGGGGGCCTTGCCCAACACCCCAAGGCCAGGCCGCTTCCCCTTACCCTGACACGTTGCCCCCCCATTGCAGAGCACTTCCCCTGTTTTCCATTTATTTCTGTGATAACTTGGTTAATGTCTGTCTTCCTCATTAGAATATTATCTCCTCATTCCAGAACAGTAGAAAGTGTACCTGTTTTTGCTGCATCCTCAGTGTGCAGCACTGTGTCTGGCACCATAGATACCAATCAACGCTCACTCATTAAAAGGACGCTGCCAAGGTGCAGGGGTGGAGCGTGTGCCCACGCAGATGGAGGAGGAGCGTCTGGGAGGGTTTCTCTCCCTTGCTGGGACTAGCTTGTCTCCTTAATTATGTGCCCAAGGGAATGGTTAGATGCAGATGTCTCCTCTTAAACTCTGAAGGTTTATATGAGGTGGGGACTAGTAGTAGACGACAGTGTTTAAGGGAATTAAGAGGTTATGGCTAAGACTCCAGAAAGTTCTCAGTTGAAATGGCAGAACCTTTGATGCTATGCCTTCTGGTTGTTTCCTGGGACCCCTTCATCTCTAGCCCCCGGGGCTGCCCAGGAATGCGGGGGATGTCCTGGAGGATGGATGGGACACACAGGGACAGAACTCCTCTGTGAGAGATTTCAGCCAGAAGTGGGGGGTGGGGCGGCACTGACCTCGGCTGATGCGCTGCTTCTCCCCAGACAGGATGCCTGGGCTGTCAATGATGCTGATGCTCTTCAGGACCTGATTGGGCAGCTGGGAGCACATGAACCTGGAAGAAAGGGATCAAAGGTGGGATCAGGAGCTGCGCATCAGAGTGCTCTAACGGAGGAGTTCGTGGTCTCTCTGGGCTACTGGCCGTCTGCAAAGGGGTATAAATGCTGCATCATGGGGCAGGTATGGGAGGTGCTCTGACGCCTGCTGTGACCTGTCACCAGATCTTTTACTGTTAGTTTTGATTTTTGCTAACATCCATTGAACACTTAGGTGTTGTACAGCCATCATCTCACTTGCTCCTCATATTTACCTCATGAGGAAGAAATCACTGCTGAACTCAGAGAGGCTAAGTCACTTGGTCCACATCATTCAGAGTTAACCTTAAACACAGGTTAGCCTGACTCTGAAGGCCATCGCCAGCCTCACCTGCCCCTTCTCTGTGCTGCTCCTTGGCCAAGCATCCTGGGCTTCTCCCAGGGAATCCCATGCCTCCTTCATTGCCTCACTGTGTCCCAAGCTCCCTGTGCAGCTCCTGCCCACTCCCTACTGATAGCGGAGGTACAGGGGCCTATTTTCACTGTCTGATGCCCCAGGGACTCAGCATCCAGCCTGGTGTCTGCTGCGGCTACAGGCCAAGGGTGGGGCAAGCACCTGCGGGCAACACCCCAAATTCTCCAAGTGTTTTGGAGTCCTAGGGGTACCCTACGAGTGGACAAAAGGGCAGGGATTGAGTCCTGGCTGAACTTCTCCAGGACTCTCTCCTTGTCCCTCATTTGCCTTATACCGTCTCCTTTCTCATCCCAGTGACCCTGCTGTGGTTCCAGTCAGCTGCCCTGGAGTCAGCCTCATGGAAGCAGACTGGGGTGGGAGAAAAATTTTAGCCTGTGGGTCAGGAGTCACGATTCAGGTTCAGCTCAGCCTTTGCAATAGTTTGCTGTGGGACCCAGGACAAGGACCTCTCCACTTTGGGCCTCAGTTTCCTCATGTGTAATGGAGACACCTGGACAGGGACTAGCAAGGTCCTATTTAGCATTAACACCGAATAACTCTGGAGCAGCAGAGGGTAATGCTTTGTTCCTTCCACCCAGTCCACAGAGCCTGAGGTGAACCTCTGTTAGGCACTGTATGTGTTTTAAGGTGCAAACTGGAGAGTGCCTCTCCTTTTCCTGTACTGTAAATGGGAAACTTCTGTTATCTGTGTGGGCAGAAAACTCAAAAACCCTCAGTGAAAGCTCAATTCTTCCATTCAGTTGGAACTGGTGGGATTACTCAGCTTGTAAATATTCTGGGAATGCAGGACAGGGAGGCCTGCCCAGCCTGCCCAGTGCACATGTGGACAGCACAGCCGCATGGGCAGGGGGAAGCCCTGAGCAAGGGGTACAGTTGCTGACATTTCAGGATAACTTTCTTTGAAAGGGCTCAGGACAAGTTTCTAATACATTGTTTTTAATAGTTTCAAGTCAGCCCAGGAAGAAGTAGGAAAAGATACTCTGGTCATTTGGCAGCTGTAGAAGTTAAAGCACGAAGCAATTATGACATCTTGGGGTCACTTGGCTAATGCAGGGCTGGCTGGAGACCATAACCTAATATTTCTGAAGTCAGTGGAGTAGAACCTAACCCATAAAGTTAGAAGTCTCAAAATGTTCAAAATAAAGGGTCAAGTTAATTTAAGAGAAGCCCCTCCTTTCTGATATTCTCCTTTCCTTCCTGCGCCATCCGCCTCGGCCCACGCTCAGAGAGCAGATCTGTGAGAACAAAGCAGCCCGGATCAATAAGTATTCTTTGTAAGCTCACAGAGGAAAAAAGCAGAACATTCGACTCTGTACAGCTGGGTAAGAACAGAGCTCTGAGCACGTGTGGCGGGCCACTTTCCCTGTCAGGGGCAGTGGGTGTCTCACCACAGCACTGTCCTTCTTGTCAGATGGTCTGAGGCATTTGGCAATGTAGAAAAGACAACACATATGTGAGCTATTTCACAGAGTATTCCTGGGAGAGGCTGAGCTTCTTCTAAAACTCCACAAGCTCACACTCAATATCAATTTTTCCAAAACACTAATCCTCTGGATTCTAGTGTGAAGTTAACAGAGGAATTCAACATTTATAAACTCTCCCTTCCCTCTGTGCAAAGTGACAAAGTTTCAGCAAGTTCCATGCCCCCTGACATACCAGTAGAAGCAAAATGTGTGAACCAAGAACAAGATGCAGTCAGATGTGGTGATGTTACTCCCACCATCAACAAGGGAGCAGGCCCGGGCCAGGTGGGGGGCTGCGGAGGCAAAGAGGAGGGGGAGGGGGAGCAGAGGGGAAGGAGGGGGAGGGAGGAGGGAGCTACCCAGGGACACCCTGAGAGGGCGTGGGTGGGGTTGTGTGTGCAAAGATGGGCTCCATTGCACAAAAGAAAGCAGTCTGGGTGGGGGCTGGGGGGGTGGGAAAGGGAGCACAGCACATGTCCACTTTCAGACCACCGTGTGGGGCTGTGGCTCATACTTTAGGGGTTAGAGCCACACATTTTTTAAAATAGTTATACTGGGATCAGAAAAAAACATAATGCAATGCTGTTACAGCAATCCTGTCTTTCTTTCATGCTCTAAGAATGGAAGTTGAAAGGCAAGGTTATTTATTGGTTCACAGTCAACTTGGGTCAGGCCATCCCTGCTAATGTGCATCTGCTGAAATACTTTAAAGCACAGATTTGCTGTCCCACAATGGATTTCCTACTCCTTCCTGGAGTGACGAACATCAAGTGTACCCATGCCTTGCCTTCTACATTTCAGATAAAATATGCACATATGTGCTGGTTGAGCCTGGGAGCCTCCAGAGCTTTTATGAGGTGTCTCCTCAACCAGGGCTGACCTGACACATTTTATTTTCCCATAAAAGGAAGATGAAACCCTACACTGGACCCCCATTCCCTGTCACTTCCACAACCAAATAAGCCTCAGGGGTAGCAGAAAGCGGGTGGCAGTGGAAAAGGAAAGGTCTGGGCTGCAAGGGCTCGGGCAAGTGGCCGTGAGTCCTGCCGCACTGCAGAACAAGGAGGTGAGAGGATTAGAGTTGTTTAAATTGCCTCTAAATGCTAACATTCTAATTCAATGCCTAACATTTTAAAAGAACCGGGCAGTACCTTAGTGCTGCTTTTGACTCCAAACACTGCCAAGCTATCTAGTAGTTCCAGGAATAATAAAGTGGCACACACACTATGTGTGTCCCTGGACGAAGCAACTTTGGAATACATTAACTCAATCACCACAACCCCATAGGTAGGAGCTGTGCACCACCATTTCACCAAGGAGGAGTCTCGGACCATAACTTGCCAGATCACATGGCTGATAAGTGACAGAGCAGGGATGCTAAAGGGCAGTTCTCAACTACTAGGCTGCTGCTACCATTTCATGCATTTGAACCACTACTGTGGACCTTTAATACAGAGGGTAACATCCTAAAACAAAAGAGTGATGAACCAGAGCCCTGGAACTCCCCACCAAAGAGGCTCCTGTGTGCAACACTCTCTTAACCTACTGGCAGAGGTGAAGAGACAGCCAGGACAGAAGATACTGTGGCCATCTTCCTTGCTCACTCACCCTGGGACCTCGTTCGTGGAGGTCTCTGAGTAATTCTACCAGCCTGAGGACTCCCATGTTGTCCTTAGGTTCAAATACAACCTAAGCTTACAATGGAGAGAATATGGAGCTGTTTCAAAACACCTCCTTCAACCCCAGCCCACTTCATTGATACAAGTAAGACCAGAGAAATACATGACTTCCTAAATTGGCACAGTAGATAGTATATGATGTACAAAAAGACTTTGACAACTAACCTATAATTATTATTGTTATGTGGTCCTATCACAAATGGCTGATCTAACCTTCCACTGCCCAGGAAAAATTTAATTTCACGCCCATACTGTAAAAAGCCTACAGTTACCCCTTAGACTGAATCTTATGGAATTATCACTTTTACAAGTAAAAGATGGTTGAGTATTGGCAATCACATGTTCTCACTTTTCTAAACCAGGCCTCTCTCCTGACTGCCCTGGCACCCGTGTTGGGAAAGTCTGCCCGAACCAAAGGAGTAAAGCTGGTTTCCTGGAACGTCAGGACCAGAAGCACACAGACAGTTGTCAATAAAGACCAATCATTGACGACCTGGGAGCCACCACAAATCTCAAGGTTAGAGTAGTGGGAAGAGGTTCAGGGAATTTATTATGGACAAGCACACCACAAAAATAACCAGCCAATCAACCCCCCCAAAAATGCCCCATTAATTCTTCAGATAAAAAGAGCAAAACAAAACAATTTTGCTGGTGAATCAAGAGTGATTCTTGGCAAGAGCCCAGTTTCCTTAATCTCTGCAGCTAAATTAGCTGGTAGAGCCAGGCTGTGTCTAGACTGATGCTATCCATTTGCATTAAGTCAGTTTTTTAAAAATTCCCAATGGTAACAAATGACTATGTAATAGTCATAGTCTAAATTAATGAAGCCTCATTTAATTAAAAACATAAAGGTAACACATAGAGTGTTAAGTCCCAAAATACACATATGTATTTAATTGTTGTTAAATCATTATACAAACAGAAGACAGGGTGGAGTCTTTAATCATCATCACCATCATCAGGACTGGCTAAAACGGCAGGAGCCATGGAGGTTCAGGTTCCTTCAGCTTGAAAGGAAGTTTCAAGCTTTCAATCCCTAGAGCCAGTGGTTCAAGTTATTTTTCAAAAAAAAAAAACAAACAAACAAGGCAATGAAGAAGTAAATGAGATTAAGAACTTGGTCCGTGGAAGACTACAATTTAAAGTTATACTAGATCCTAAACTAAAAACTATGTCTGTAGCTAAACGCATTTTAAAAAAGACTACCATTTTTAGAAAAGTAGGTTGAGGGAGAAACATAACCTCCAATGCACATGCAGATGGCCGGAGGAAATGTCAGATGCCAGCTCCTGACACTTCTCGAACTGCCCAGAGTACATTGGTGTGCCCAGGGCTCAGACCCCAGAGAGCTGTTGAGTGTGTCAGCTCTCCCTCTGAGAAGGGGAAAGGACCCCCCTGATAACATAGTTTGGAACTAAAGTAACCACATTCCCAGGGAGCAACTCTAAGATAGGCCCGCCATGGACTTCCTCTTGGCAGCCAAGCAGAACGGTGGAGTTTCAGATGCTGCATTAAAGCTGTTTCTGGACAACTCTTTCTGTCTTAGACTAAACTCCTTCCTTGGAAATTTCTATAATTCTATAAGCTGCCTTTGAGTATTTGCCTTCATTTCTCAGAATTGCACTATAGAAGTGTACCTGTTACTCAGAAGCCAGCTTTAGAGATGGAGACATGCTCTACTGGTTTGTTTAATGCTTCAAGGCTCACGTCCCCTTCCATGCATCACCTGGTACCACCCTGCAAAGTACTAAACTCAGGGCGGTGCCCAAGCCAATGCCCTGTAACAAGAAGGCCAGAGTAACGAGACGGATCCCCGGGGTGACTGGTGGTTGCTCAGTGGGGCAGGGGGAGAAGGTTCTCCACAGCAGACAACCTGTTCTCTTTCCTATAAAGTACTGTACCCAGAAAGTACGCTAAGCTATGCAAAAAGCAGCTTGCCTGCCATTAGAACTAACCCCGCTGATGTTCCCACAGGGATCCTATTATTATGTGCACACATTTGAGCACCCTATACTGACTCTTTCTTACATAAGTGCTGGGTGAAACAGCACCACTGCTGAGGATATGACTTAATCAGGCTGTTTCCCTGTAAGTACGCTATTAGTTTACATGAGGCACATCCCTTACTCATGAACCTCACATATGCATGACCGCCAGGGTGGCTAGGACAGAAACTCCTCTTGTGAAGCTCCTTGAGGTGCAGGATCATAGACTGAAGGGAAGAGGAAACCTGCTTTCTAGTCTTGTCTCTGCCTCCTCTTGGATAAGTCTTTTTACTTCTATGCTCTCAGTTTTCTCATCTTTAAAATGGCCTTAGTGTTATCTGTCTTATTAACCCTGAAAAGATAGGGTGCATGAAATTATGAATCTATAATTTGGGATATAATCATCATCTTCATCATCATTATTGGTGGGCTACACTAAGAACAGCCTTAAAATTTAGATACAGGGCAACAGGCAAGGATTCTTAGTGTAGACCTCATACCATTGGGCAGCTCATTACAGAGGTCACTAGCAGGACTCTGAGTCAGGTGGCCTGGGTTCCAATCTCAGCATTGCCACTTATCAGCTGAATGTCCCTGAGAAAGATAAATTAACGTCTGTGTGCCAATTCCCCCTCCCTAGATTGGGGATAATAGTACATTAATGTCACAGTTTTTGTGAGGAGCTGGAGCTCATATACAAGTAAAGTTTAGAACAATATCTGATACACAGGAAATTATTTGCTATTACTTTTCTATGTACTCATAATTCAATCAACACTGGATTATTTTCAGCAAGTTTTAAATTCTGAGATAATGAACCCTGCCATTCAAAATCTCTCTCAAGTGCTTCTTTTCCACATTTGTCTGCTGTGTATGTTTGGGACTTGAAACAAAATAAATTTGCTAGGAAAGTAAATCATCTGTCAAAATAAAACAAACCAATAGCCACTCTTCCGGGTTTTTCCCTTGCAAATATGGACTTCACAAAATGGGAATTTGAAAAAAGGGGCAGATTATTTCATTTTTAGCTTTTGTCAAGCAAATAGAGTAAAACTAAGGGCAGTGGTAATGAAACTGCAGGTTTCCAGGCAGACTTCCCTGGAGAAGGACTATAGGCCCTGTGCTTCTCAGGGTATCTGGAAGCTTCCAGGGCCAGTCTTGGACAGAAAGCTTGGCTGTTGCCTACTTGGTGACAAGGGCTCCTTGAGAGGCCCTGACAGGGGTTCTTCTTGTCCCACTTCCCTTCACCTGTGGCCCACTCTGTCCCCAGAGGCCCCCTGGTATCCTCCCACATGGGCTTAACCCCTACTTCTCCCACAAGGAGAGGCTCTGGTGCCAACCAAGCTTCTCTGGAGTTGAGGAGGAAATTCCTCTGAAGGTAGAAAGAATCATCTGGACAGTATTCTGCAAGTCACAGTCAGCAACAAGATGGAATTGCTCAGTGAATCCATCTACATCATAGGCACACTTTTAGTTATGCTATTGCCAATTCCCTTGCTACCACTGATGCTGTCTTTGATTTGAGATGGGAGAATGAAAAGCCCTTAGGGTACAGATCCTTAGAGAGTTCAGGGTTTCCCAGAAGGCACCTAGGCAGGTTGCCTGGGCTGCCCCTGGCAGAGCCACCACACAGCACCCAGGCATGTCATTCATTCCACAGTCCTTGTGAATGGCTCCTTCTAGAGTTGGGCAGTGAGGCACCTCAGCCTCCGGGAAGACTGCAGTCAGCTGGGGGATCTGTTCCCATTTTTGTAAACATCTGAGAAGGAGAGGTACAGTTAAGCCTCTTGTCTGTCAGCTCCAGTCCCACTTCTACAGGGGTTTGGATGACCCCTCCTGGCTCTGCATCCTCCACAGCCCACTCCCCCAAACCAACCAGTGTAAAGCAGTAGACTTATGAAAGAGGTGAATAGAGTGGGTGAGGGGAGAGACAGGAAAGAAGGCAGAGAAAAGGGTTAAAAAAAACAACAAGGTTGGGAGTGGCAAAGAGGGAGGAGAGGGAGGTAAGAGCAGATCAGTGGGAAAGGGCACAGCTGCATCCAGGAGTGCCTTTTAGCCCATGCATGTCCTGTTCCTGCACCATTCTGTTTTATCACAAACCCCGGTGAAATATTATGGGGTAGTGCAAATAAAGCACAACTCCAATTAAAACAGAACCTCAGCTAGCTTACAACTTCACATAATAAAATAATGACTATGCAACAAAATGAAATTTTTGTGTTACTTTCAGTCTGTTTCCCCTGCCATGCTCTAATAAATAAAAAAGCAGCTCAAAGCATGAAAGGGAAAAACCTAGAGGATAGCCAGGGAGGTGAGGTGACCTGTCCTGCAATAATCAAGAGATGGAATCTGTTGTCGGGTGAACTCTAGGGGTCTTCTACGCTAAGCTCTTTGTGCAGGAGGCCCTAGCACATCATGCCTGAGAGGTGGCAATTCAGCTGCCACTTAACATTGCCAGTGATGGGGAGCTCACTACCTCACAAGGCAACTTGATCCATTTCTGTGTATCTTGAATTATCATAAATTTGTTCCTAATACCATGTGGCTTTATAATGCCCAATCCTGGGCCTTAGCTCTGCCCTCTGAAGCCAGTAGAATAGGTATAAATGGTCATTTCTTAGGATAATCTTTCAAATATTTGAATACAATAAACATATTCTCTATAATTTCTCTCTTCTAGATTAGACATGTTCTGTTCATCTGTTTTTGGACCTTTACATGTGTAATGGGCAATAATTCAAATAAGATGTTTAAACAGCCTGACGAAAGATGGTTTGCTGGTCCTTACCGATTCAGGAAAGCATTTCCAAAGCGACTAAGCTTTCGAAATGGCTTTTTGGGGTCCACTACTAATGCGTTCCCTGGGGTGCTGCCCTCGGTCTCCCCATACATCACAGCGATGAAGGAATCGGTGGTGGGCTCTGGACCAATCCTCATGCCTGGGAAGTCTTGCTCCAGTAAGTATCTGGAAGAGAAAAGAAACTTAGCATGTTGTTACAAAGCAAGAGGCCGGAAAGCTTCCTGGGCTACTAATTTTTAACATAGTCATTTACAAACCTAGAAATATAACCCCCAAGGAGAAAAGAATGATTGGCATTTTACTCTTTTGCTAAAAATGAAATTTCCAAAGCTTAAAATCTACAGACCTATTTTCTTGCCAGTGTAAGAAGCCTAGTAGAAGAGATCAGAAACCTTGCAGACTTCTTGGGCTTTCTGAGAGGGTACCTTTGTTCAGCATTGCAATTCTTGTTCGTGTCCATTGGTACAACAGATAACACCAAGCAGAAGTGTACCCAGCTGGCTCCTACGCATCCCGGAAGAACTGAGTAGGCCACCTCCTTTTGTGAAGTGTCCCAGTCCCTCCAGTGTGTTGGGCACACCTCCCCGTGGGCCCTGGGCACCCTGGGCCTACCGCAAACATGGTGTTCACTGTGGGTACTGCCCTTCTGTCTGTGGGCCCCCGTGGGCAGGCCCATGTCTCTGGCAAGATGCATATCCCCAGCACCCTGTACTGTGCCTGCCCACAGAGGGCACTCAGTGCAGTGAGTGAAACAATGAACTGCCTCCTTCCTCCTCACTGGCTATCACTGAGGCTGGCACAATCTCCCTTGTGCATTTTATAGTTCCCTCAGGCTCCTGGAGGTCATGGCCATGGAAAATGATCTCCAAAGAATTCAGCAGCAACAGAGGTGGCTACTGGAGGGGGCTGGAGGTGTAGAAGAGAAGGAGGGAGGCTCAGATATCACCAGGGCCAATGCTAGCCCTTTGTGTAAATAGGAAAGAGATGCCCCTTTCTCCAGGAGATACAGCCCTGCACCAGCTTCACAGCTTAGCAAGGACCCTAGGATTTCCCCCCCACATGCCCCTTTGCCCTCATGTACTTTAACCCACACAACTATACACATGTCCCTAGTAAATGTCAAGGAGGGTTCTGATTCGGGGGTCTGAGAAGACTAACTGATGTGATACAGGCACAGGACCGGCTCATTGACATGCCTGGGGTGGAGCGGGGAGCCAGAGGTAGAGCGATGGGGGAAGTCTGCTTTCTGTGGGGATCAGCGGAGCCCTGATATAGCCCCGCCAGGACTGCAAGCAGGGGAAGCTCCTCAGAGCCCCTCCCCTCCCCACCAAGCTTCCCTCTCCACGAAGCACATACGGAGTGAGGCTGAGGCGGGGAGAGTGGGGTGCGGGCAAGACTACTCCCTCCTTCTTTTGCAGCCAAGGGGAATAGGAAGAAAAGAGTACATGTCACCATTACTACACAACCTTCAGAGAACACTTGTCAGTGGCTGTGAACAGGTACCAGGTGGGCAGCAGCAGTGGAAAAGACCGTGTGTGTGAGGTGCTTAGGACAGGAAGATGCAAGGGCAGAAGCCTGCCCAGCTCTCTTGGCCTCCCACTCCTGCAGCTAACATCTATTTGAATCTAAACTATTTCTTTGTTTCTAAAATGTCTTGACTGATTAAGTTTAAGCCCAGAATTTGTGATTTTATTTCCAGGGATGGAAGGAAATAATTCAACTATTAACTGTGCAACACAATTTTGCCATCTGGACAGGAGTTCAGCCGCCCTTTAGACCTGTATTTCCTATGCAAATAAAATGGAAATTGCTTAGTAATCTTAGTAGGCTCTATTCTAAACGTTTCGTTGATTTCATTACTAGTATTAAAGTCATCCAAAGTATCTACATTTCTGTGAAGCTGTAGAGCACCAGAACAGATATATCATTAAATATTCCCTAAATTTAAAGTAAGTGTGAAAAAAAATCAGATAATAGCACTCAGCATTTATCAGGTGCTTACTACTTAACTAGTACAGCACAAAGCCCTCTACATGCATAAGTGTTTTGTTTAATCCCCATAACACTGAGATGGGTACTAACCCATTTTATAGGTGGGAAAACGGAGGCATCAACAAGGCTAGGCAACTTGCCCAAGGTCACATAGTAGGTGCTTCAGTGGAAATAGAATGCAGGCAGTCGGACTTCAGGTCTTGTGCTATTCCAGATTTGTTTAAACTTGGGTTCGAGCTGGAAGTTGGCACAGAGATGAGGAACATGAGGGCAGCTCAGGGCCCTCACACAGTGTGCCACTGGGCATGAGGCATGAAGATGTCATATTCCCCCCAAAGTGAGGGAAAAGAGCTCTCCAAACTGTCCTCTTGCATGGCTCTTGGGCTACCCTAACAAGGGGCCAGCCCTCCCCATTCTCCCTGGAGAAAAACTGGGGAGAGGAAATTTTTTTAATTTTTGAAACTTTTTCAGACACCTAATAACCTAGTAAATACTCTTAGGAGCAGAAATGGTAAAGTTTACAAATTCTTATGAAATTTCACACAATTTGAAGAACACTGGTAAAAGCTACAATGAGGGAATCTCACATTTTGTGAAACTCCAGCACTTATGGAGTGAATATAAAATGTAGGGATTTTATATACATGTATGAATATGAACTTTAGGTTTTTCAGCCACTCTGGGATCTCAAGTGTAAAGGCACTGAGTAGCGAAGCTAGAATTCAAGCCCAGATCATACCCCTCCCAGTCCAGCTTGACTCTACACCTTGTGGCCTGGATGAGGCTATGCGAGGAGGCCCAGGGGAAACAGAGGAAAGGGAGACACCAGGAGAGGAGGTGGGGCTTGGAAAAACACAGTTCCCAACTCGCAAAGGGGTTAGGTTCAAGTTGGTTTGAAACTTGACAGGCACTCTTCATAGAATCAGTGTTAACAGCGATGGCTTGTTTGCCAAGTCAGCTACAGAAGGCCACACGTACCAGTAAAACAGACCAGCCAGGCAAGACCTCTGGCAACTCCCTCTGGGGGAGAGGTTCAGCGCTGAGTTCTGCCTCGGGGGGCTCTCTGCAATATGGCCCTTCACAGCAGCTTCCCAGGCCTGGGGCAGAATGGGGCCCTTCAGCTCCAGGCCTGGGGATGTGGGAAAGGGGCTTAGGCAGGGGTGGAAGGGCGTGTGGGTGCTGTACTTAAGCAGTGAGTCTGCAGCGGGGCAATAACGCACGTGAGGTGTGTAAGTTGTGTAAGTCAGACCTTCATTGCAAATGAGTGGCCAAATTGCTTCCTGACATTTCATTTATGTAAAAGCACAGCCCACACCCCTAATTTTGAAATAACTAGGGTTTCAGTGAAAACCTAAAGTATGAAGTTGTTTAAAGAAGAGCAGGTGATGGACAGTGACTGCAATAGGGTGTGTGGAGGCACTTGATAACATGGGTGAAGTTGTAACCACAATGTTGCTCACGTGAAGCCTTCATAAGATTGTATATCAATGATACTTTAATTTAAAAAATGGGGAAAAAAAATAAAGAGCAGGTATTTCTTAGAGTTTCATTCTGTAATAGCAGCTAAGAGTTTCCTAACTAGAAACCCTGCCTGCAGAACTGTAACAAATAATTATGCTTAAAGGATGCTGCTAATGTGAATCAGTCTGAAGTAAAAGGTGCCTCCTGAATGGTGACCTGGGTAAATCACTCAATTCTGGGGCCCACACAGAGCAAGAGCCAGAACTAGGAGGAACTGTGTTAACGGCTTGCTCACGTGATTAGTTTGCTTAGTGGTACTTTCATTCACAGATAAAAAACAAAATTCAGTGTTCAATTTCATTATCAAAGTAATACCAATTAAAGACAGTATATTTACACCTTAAAACCTCAAACTCAACCTAGGTGAGGGTGTAATGACACAAACACCCTTGTATGTGTTGATAGGAGACTAAGTTGTTATAACCTCACTGAAAAGCAACTGATACTTTGTGTCAAAAGCCCTTAAAAGTCAGTAATTCTACTGCTTGAAATTTATCCTTAGGAAGAGCACTAGACACATGAAAAAGATTTCTGCATGACCTCCACTACAGCATTCTTACAGCGGCAGAACAATTAGAAAAAAAATTTGTGCTCTTTCCCATAACTCTTATGTCCCTCTACCATAATTTGAAATATACTTGTTTACTGTTTTTATGATTTATTCACTGTCTCCCCCGGTAGAATGTGAGCTGCAGGACCCTGCACAGGGCCTTTTGTCTCTCCTGTTCATTCCTGCTCCCTAGGTGGGGGCATAATCTCTACCATATCATTGAGGTGCTGGACAAATGCTTGTTGAAATAATGGGCATATAAGGATCTGATGACACTGGCCTTTGTAGGGCCATTCCAATATGTCAAGGCCATTCCCAGCTCAGGGTTGCATGGAAGGCCCTCTCCCAAGATCTCTGCGTGTCGAACGGCCCCTCCTTGGTGAGCACCCGACAAAGGAGCCCCTCCAGTGTGATGCCCCCTCCCCTTGTTAGCCTACTCATAGCCCTCAGCAGTAGCTCAAGTCCTCTCAGGTGACTGTGCGCTACTGTCCCGAGATGTTAGGGGCATCTGGAGAGCAGGCCCCTCGTTTGTCTGGCTCACCACTGTACCGACAGGAGCTAACACAGCGCCTGACACAGTGACAGGTCAGAACCAGCCTCCACGGACTGAGCCGCTTCCTCCCCGCCCTCACCTAGGCGGCCTTCAGGTCTGTCCTTCCTCCCTCACTTCTCTGCCTCATCACACTCCGCTCTGGTCACTCCACACTTCCCAGCGGCCTCCCATCCTCCCTCTCCCTGCTCTGCCCTCACAGATCAGATTTTTTTCCTAAAGCACCTCTTTAACATCAGCCTTCCATAACAAGCCAGTCCTTCCCAGATGACCTCTGTTCAGGGCCCCCTCAGACCAGCCTCTCTGCCTCACAGTCTGGGTTCTTGCTCCTCCCCTATTGGGGCCCCTCTTCCCTCTCTGATTAGTCTCTGCCAGACCCCCAAGGCCTGCTCCTGTCTTCCTCATTCCACTCCCTCTGGAGGGTAATCTCATCTCATGATCCCTGCTATCTATCCTACCCACTCACTGAGTCACTACAAAATGTCACCTCCTCGAGGGTAGTGGCTGGATCACACCGGGGCCTTTGGGGCCACTCCCGCCTCCCCTTCTCCG